AATGGGGCATTAATTGGAGTGTCAGAAACACGGAATAAGTACTATCATCTAAGGGTCGCTGAGGAGCCCCGGAGGCAGTAGGAATTTGGGGCCTTTTGTCTTAGAACCATGTGGTTACAGTGTCTCTGTATTCCAACTTTCACATTCTCAGTTCCCAGTAGAGAAACTGATTGACCTGGCAGGGGCATTTGGCCACCTCTGACTCTCACCTGTGACTGGAGGGACTAGTACATAATTACAGACAGGAGCTGGGCACAGTGGCTCACATCTGTAATCCCAGCACTTTGGGAAGCCAAGATGGGAGAATCATTTGAAGCCAAGGAGTTAGAGACTAGCCTGGGCAACATAGTGAGACCCCTTCTCCACAAAAATGTTTTAAAAATCCACTGAGCATGGTGGTACACACCTGTAGTCCCAGCGACATAGACGACCGAGGCAGGAAAATTGCTTGAACCCAGGAGTTTGAGGCTGCAGTGAGGTATGATTGGGCCTCTACGCTCTGTACAGCCTGGGCAATCGAGTGAGACCCTGTCTCAAAAGCAAAAACAAAACAGTACAGACAGGGCTACTTGGACCTCCTCCCTAAATACCAGGAAATGTGCCTAAAAGTTGTTGGTCACAAACAGGCCCAAGAGAAGTGAATTAATTTGTCTAAGGTCACAAATTAGACGCAGAACTGGCAATGGTCCTGCCCTTACAGGGAAAAGGGGCTCTGTCTGTGGCCCAAGTATGCAGAAGTTCCTTCCATTGGGTTAAGGAAATGAAAGCAGTGTGCCCACCCAGTGCCCAGTCTCTTTCCCCTCAGTCCTTTGGATACGTGGGACCCCTGAAATCTGCACAGTCTCATGTTTCCCAGGTAGTTTTTTGTTTTTGTTTTTTTGGTCTTCTCTGGTCTGCCTGTGGACTTTGTTGTAGTGTCCGAATACCTAGGCCTGAGGAGTAGGTGTTTTGGGGAGGACAGTGGCTACACTCAAGTGCAAAGCCCTTTGCATTGTGGGACAGAGCCAGAGGTGGGAAGAGAAGGGAGCACTGATGGGGTCTAACTTTTCCAGTACACCTTGTTCTGGCAAAGAATTCCCAAGGAATATGGGAATTCTAAATTTGACGCGACCCTTCTAGGCGGTTATGAAGAAGGTATATTTTTGCCAAGGCAAGAGAACATAAATATACTTTATTTAATGGCATGTTAGTGTGATTTATACTAGACATGTAGGCATGATATATGAATCTTCATGTATGCTCTTTGCCCTAGGCCCTGAAGGTGTTAGCTTGGAACTGAGACCCTGAAACACAACCACATCCCCGTCATCAAATAGTGGCCTTTCGTTCAGTGGGTTTTTAAAAGCGTTGCTTATAGTCAAGCAAATAACAGAGACTAAATTGAGCTCTTGGTAGTTCTCAAAACCGATAGGACTTAGTTTCTTCATTCTGATTGCATCAATGACTTGATCTGTGTTTTAAGACTTGTTTTCTGTTTTTTAGTTGGTGTCTCACCCTGGCACTGTGGCTGGAGTGCAGTGGAACAATGCTGGCTCACCACAGCCTTGACCTGCTGAGCTCAGGCGATCCTTCTGCCTAAGCCTCCTGAATAGCTGCTGAGCTCAGGTGATCCTTCTGCCTAAGCCTCCTGAATAGCTGGTACTATAGGTATACACTACCATGTCCAGCTATTTTTTCTTTTTTGTGAAGACAGGATCTTACTATGTTGATCAGGTTGTTCTTGAACTCCTGGGCTCAAGCAATCCTCTTGTAAGAGGATTGTCTGAGCCCAGGGGTTTGAGACCAGCCTGGGCAATTTGGCGAGACCTCATCTCTACAATAAATCAAAAAATTAGCTGGGCATGGTGACACACGCCTATAGTTCCAGCTGCTTGGAAGGCTGGGGCAGAAGGATTATCTGAGTCCAGCAGATTGAGGGTGCAGTGGCCGTGAGCATGCCACTGCATTCCAGCCTGGACGACAGTGAAACTCCAGCTCAAAAAAAAAGAAAGAAGAGTCTTGCAGTCTCTAGCAGGCATTAAATGTCAATAGGCTGACATTTGTGACTTAGTTGGTCAAATACACCCTTTGACCAAAAGGTTTGAGAGCAGTACAGATATCTTCTATACCAGCTTTTACAATGGATACAAACCTGAAGAGTGGTTAAGAGGAGACAGAAAAGCCAGGCTTGGTGGCTCAGCCTGTAATCCCGTGCCTTGGGAGGCTAAGGTGAGTGGATTGCCTGAGCCCACGGGTTCGAGACCTGTCTGGGCAACTTGGTGAGACCTCATCTCTACAATAAATCAAAAAATTAGCCGGGTGTGGTAGTGCGCACCTGTAGTTCCAGCTACTTGGAAGGCTGAGGCGGAAGGATCGCCAGAGCCCAGCAGCTCCAGGCTGCGGTGGCCAGGAATGGTCATTGCAGTACAGTCTGGGCGACAGAGTGAGACTCCAACTCAAAAAAAAAAAAAAAAGAGGAGGCAGAAAGCCACCTACAAACGGTGTCTGTTGAATCTTCACTTCCAACTGAACATTTATCCATCAAATTCATTTGGTTCTTAGCAAGGTTTGTAAACTGCTTGGTTACTGATAGATCTTGGTTCAGTTAGCTTCTCAAATTATACCGTTGTCATCTTCTTTCTCTTTTCTTTTTTGAATATCTTGAGTGGGAGGGTGTGTAGATAGAGAGGGAGAAAGAAAGACACAGACCTCTGTAAGTCTGAAATTACTTGCTCACACTTCTTAAATATACCATCTCAAATGTATAAAAAGTAGCTAATACTGTGAACTTTTTTCCTGAGCCATTTACAAGTGGTACAGCATGATGCCACATTCATCACTCCCAAATATTTTCGTCTGCATTTTCTCCAGGCATTCTCCATAAACCCAAGATAACTATTAAAAGCAGAGAATTCCCATCAGGGCATCACTGGCGTCTAATCTTCAGACTGCATTCAGGTTTTACCAGTTATTCAAATAATGTCCTCAGTGGCACAAGAATCCAGTTCAGGGTCATCTATGCATTGGATTTTCAAAGCATTTGAAGGTTACATGCCAGTTACTTTATAAAATGTCCCTTGGTTTGGGTTTGACTGATGTTTCCCCATGTTGAGGTTCCAGTTCCACATCTTTGGCAGGAATGTTACGGAATGAATGCTTCCTGAAGCATCTGGTGGTCTGATACCTGCTTTCCACATACCCCTTTACTAGGGCTGTTAACTTGAATCCTTTGAGTAGGACGGTGTCTGCCAGGCTTCTTTGAAAAGTGACCTTTCTCCATGCATGAATACTATGTATATTATGGAGAGGTACTTTGAAAATGCCTTAGTATCTCATTCCTCATCAGTCTTTATATTAAGTAGTTACTTTTAAGTCTGTGGATTGATGGATTCCAGTTTATTTAAAATGTTATAATCTATTACTATCATTATTTACTTTTATCCTCAGATTGTCCCAGATCTGACTGCTTCAAGTGGGAGCTCCATTTGGCTGGCTCCTGTGTCCTTCTGAAACGTCCCCTTCATCCTTTGAGCACTTCCTTCCTTTCTGTCACAATACACTGCTTGAGGCTTCTGTCATACTCTTCCTTCCCCAGCTTTGAAATCAGTCATTTTTCTTTTTTTTCTTTTTTTTTTTTTTGAGTAGGAGTCTCTCTCTCTCGCCCAGGCTGGAGTGCAGTGGCATGCTCATGGCCACTGCAGAGTCGACCTGCTGGGCACAGACCATCCTTCCATTTCAATCTTCCAAGTAGCTGGAATTACAGGTGCATGCCCAGCTGATTATTTTATTGTAGAGTCAAGGTCTCACCAAGTTGCCCAGGCTGGTCTTGAACCCCTGGGCTCAGACGGTCCTCTTGCCTCAGCCTCCCAAAGTGCTGGGATTACAGACTGAGCCACCGACACCCAGCCAGCCTTTGGATGTTGTCAGCTCTCCTGCTGTTCCCTTGGGGTGCCCTTCTCACCCCACTCTGCTCTGACCTCTCTGGCCAGGCCACCCATCTCATCCCCTCCACGCACACGCTCCTTGCCCTGCCTTTTCCAGCAAATGACTTTTGAACTGGATTATTCACAAAAGGGAAAGGAAAACTATATTCTTTGTCTCCTGTTTTTGGGAAGGGGGCACAAGTAATTTCTATGTATTATACAAACTTAGACCACAAATTGTATTAAAGTAAAATACACGTCATTGCATTATTCAGGATAATCAGGCTTAGCTTCATAGGTTGGAACCATACTTCTTTCTACCATAGGGCTTTTACAAATGCTGTCTCTGTTTCCTCAACCTGGAGCTTTTACCCCATTCCCCTTATCGTTTTTCTTGCCATTGCCTGTTGCTGTCATCTGTCATCATTGTTAAACCATTTCTCTACTGAGAAATGCTTATTTTTTGTCTTTGTTTACTGTTACAAGGTATGTTTTATTGAATATCATTAGACATTCATTTTTGTTTCTCACTTGTGCAGGAATATCTGTAGCATAAGTAAAGCCAGCCAGGCACGGTGGCTTGCGCCTCTAATCCCAGCATTTAGGGAGGCCAAGGCAGGAGGATTGCTTGAGCCCAGGAGTTTGGTGACGTAGCGAGGCCTCGTTGCTGCAAAAAATAAAGTAAACCAGGCATGGTGGTACACACCTGTAGTCTGGAAGGATCACCTGAGCCCAGGAGGTTGAGGCTGCAGTGAGCCATTAGCCTGTCACTGTGCTCCAGCCTGCATTACAGAGACTCCCTACTCAAAAAAATAAAAATAAATACATCCAGAGTTAAAGAACCAGAATGGAGCCAGGTCTTTAGGAGTTTGGCTCTGTCTTCCTTCAGTGCAGGGAGTACATGCTGTCAATCACTGTCCCCGGTCCCCAGAGGAACACACAGTAAGTATTCACCAAGTGTATCTTGAATTTGTATGGATGCTGGCCTGTTTTAGTGATCAGTGAACTTTAAATAATGAAATTTCTCTGAGATGGAGAGCTACTGTGTTGTGACATAAAGCCTGTTAGCTCCTAAGCCGTTCTACCTTTTTTCAACAGAAGGTGGTTTTTTGCCCTGTGAAAGAAGCATTGGAGGTGGACTGGAGCAGTGAGAAAGCCAAGGCCACTCTGAAGCGCACAACTCCTGACTACTTTCTCCTTCAAGGTGAGAGTCAAAGCGAAGCTTCCCTAGGGAGGGCTTCCGGCTCTTACTTCTGCAGGTGTGACTGCAGAGTCCTCGTGGTTTTGTGATTCTCTCTCTCTGTTCTCAGTGACCATCCGAGAAAGGCAGGGCTCTGAGACCTGTCACTGAATTTTGGATTCAAGTGACTTCAGCTTTTATTTGTTGAAATGACCTGCCTTCTAAAGTTGAACCTAAGACACTAACTAGTGTCATGAATCAAGCAACTTCTCTTCACCACGTTTTCCCTCTTTAGAATTCTTTCTTGGCCTGTAGGCCAGAGTCACTCTCATGAAAGTGGGACTTCCCTCCTTCGCTATGAATGAGCTACTTTTCAGTCCATCCTTGCCGGTACTCAGCAGGAAGTTAGCTAAGTATGGGTTGGCTTCTCAGTGTTCTTCCTGTGCCTGGCACTTTTAGCTTCTAAAACATTATGTATTTATTTATATTTAGGGTCAAAGTCTCACTCTGTCACCCAGGCTGGAGTACAGTGGCATAGTCACAACTCACTGCAGCCTTGAACTCTCCCTCTTTTTTTTTTTTTTGAGTCAGAGTCTCACTATTGCCGAGGTTAGAGTACAGTGGCATGCTCTCACCCAGGCAGTCCTTCTACCTCAGCCTTCCAAGTAGCTGGAATTACAGTCACACACCACCATACCCAGCTAATTTTTTGATTTATTGTAGAGACAAGGTCTTACCAAGTTGCCCAGGCTGGTCTCAAACCTGTGGGCTCAGGCAATCCTCTTGC